AGCAGAGCATCAGAAGTGTTTCTTGGAGCACAGGAGCACGTTCTACCTGCTGTGATGTGATCTGCTGAGAGCCTCCGAAACACCCATAAATCACCTCTGCAAACTGCGCCTCTAACATTTATCGGCTTGTTTCTGTCTGCAAGCCAAAGTGCCATTAGACTGACTCATATTTTGGCATTTTGTGTTTGTATACAACAAGATGATGTTTGCAAGCAATGGGAAAAAAGAAAAGAAAACACAAGAAAACCCTTCTTGGGCAGCACTTCCATCCCTGCAAGCCTGGCCTTGCTCTGCAGTGTCCCCAAGGAGCAGAGCTCAGCACCTGCCCCTTCTTTTCTTTCCCTTTCCCTTTCTTTTCCTCTTCCTTTCCCCTCCCTTTTCTTTTTTTCCCCTCCCCTCCCCTCCCCTCTCTCCTTTCCCTTTCCCTGTCTTTTCCCTTTCAGTTTCCTTTCTTTTCCTTTTACTTTTCCCTTTCCCTCCCCCTTTCCTTTCTCTTTCCCTCCTCCTCTCCTCTCCTCTCCTCTCCTCTCCTCTCCTCTCCTCTCCTCTCCTCTCCTCTCCTCTCCTCTCCTCTCCTCTCCTCTCCTCTCCTCTCCTCTCCTCTCTACAGGGCTCAGCCAAACACCAGGCACTGTGGGTCGGAGCTGGGAGAAGAGCAGTGTGTGGGGAGTGGGAAGGGGGAATGCAGCAGCCACCGAAGCGGAAACTCTCGGATGCAGATGTGTGTGGAAAGCCAAAGAGCTGACAGTTTACTCTTCCTTCCTCCCACAGCAACACAACTGCAATGATTTTTTAATGACAGGTAGGACAGGAGGTGGGCTTCTGGCTTGAAATCCTCTGTCCTGCTGAAAAACACCAGATTTAGGAGCAGCAACCATTAACCACGGCATCGAGAAGCATCGGGCAGCACCCTCACTCCCTGGGTCACCTGCAGGGGATGCTGGCACTGCAGAAGGTCCCGCAGTGACTGCAGGAGCAGATCTGGTGGCTGCTGCCACGCTGCTGTGTTTTTCCTGTTCCTCCCACTGCTACTCCCGCTAATATTAGCAGCACTAATTGCTCGTCGCATACCATGCGTGTGCATGTTAGCGTTTCAGAACGGCTAATTGTTGCGTTCTGTAATTAAACGGCCACTAATGAATGTGCTGCAAAAGGAGCAGCCTGTTGGGTTGCACCCTGGCTCCCTGCAGGGCGCCCTCAATCCTGCTCTGATGCAAGGCACTGAGCCGCCAGCTCCCCATGCACGGCTGGCTGAGGAAAGGCAGGCACCCTTCCATGGGAAGCCATACCTGGAGAGCCATGGGGCTCCCTTCACTGCAGGGAGAAGTGTTGGCCTCGTGCTCACAGTGAGAAGAATCGACTGAGTTACAGGCTCTGCTCCTTGCCTCTGCAGCATAGAAACAGAAACGACATCAACCTCATTGCAAAAAGCCACCGGTTTGGGCTGGAAGTGGATGGCCCTTCGGTCCCTTCCAGCATAAGCCGTTCTATGATTCTGTGATACTTTCATCCCTGAAATGCAGCAATGCCGCAGGGGGTGATGAGGTTACAGGTGTTACTCTTCAACAGGCAAAATACAAAAGTCTGAGGGAAGCTTGTTCTGGGTTCCCTTATGCAGGGAGCAGCCCATCAGCTCCACACACATCAGAGCAGGTGAAGGAGACCTCAGGGCACTCCACGGGGCCAACAGGGCAGTGGACCATCGCCTTGTGCTGAGTGCCAGCAGTGCCACTGCTGAGCCCTGGGCTGCAGCACGGCGAGGCTGGGAGCAATGCTCGTGTTTTCCATCCAAGGGATGCGCCAGAGCTGCTGCCAGCACTGCGTCTCAGGGGAATCAGTTTTCATCCTGCCAGGAGCATTAATTTCTCATGATTCACATCTCTAAAGCAGCTTTGGAAAGAAAATGTGCTTTCGCTAGTCAGACCTTCACGCACGTCAAGATGCCACAGTTTTTTCCAGACTTTCCAAAGGAAGCCACGGCTGAGCGAGACATTCCTCCTCCTCCTCCAGCTTTCCTGCAACAACCCTTTCAGATCAGTGAGCTAGACAGATTGTTGGAAGGACACACAGACAGAGCTGGGCAGCAGGTCTCCAGGCAGGTCAGGCACCGACCCAGGCAGTGCTCCAGGGGCAGAAGCCACAGCCATGAAAGATGTTGGCTGGTCACACACATCCCTGGGCTTTGTGAGGGGGGACCCTATGCTTGGGGGATCCTCTGTGGGTCAGCACTCCTCCTAGCCCCTCGGAAGGAGACACAGCCCCCGCTGTCTGCCTACCTCTTCCTCAACCACAACAGTTAGAAAAACTAAGCAGGCACCCATGGGGAGTGAGTTTGGAAAAGATCAGGATTTATTAGACAGGCTGATGTTCAAACTGACAGTTTCATCCAAATGCACATGATCTGGGCATCTACACAGGCCTGTACCCCAGCTATGCCACTCCCAACAGCATCTGCCCAGCACCCTCTCAGGATAGACGCCTGCAGCCCTGGTACTGGGACATAGAGACTTGGAGTTTCTAAGCAGAACACCAAGGTCTCCACACTCCCCTTCCCACAGCTCCCAGAGCTCCCCTAACACAGCTGAGAGGGGCTGGGCTGACTGATCCCACAGCTGGGACCGGCTCAGTGTCACCTGCCCCTCCAGCATGGGGCCAAGGCTGTCTCTGACATTGGGTCTGTCTGCCATCGCTCTCACGTGGAGTGCTGTGTGGGGCATTGCATGGGAATCCCAACGTTCCCTACTGGGGAGGGACATTGGAGGGACATGGAGGAGCCCCATCTGGGACCCTCAAGCTCAGGGGGTGCATAGGGCGTGAGGATGGTGGAGAGAGGGGTGTAAATAGGAGAGAAGGCAATGAACGCCAGAGACAAGCTGGAGCAAAAGGAAAGGGTCTGGGAGAAGGACGGGAGCATCCTGAGAGCAGAGTAATGCTGCCTTCGGGCCCCAGGCCATAGGGAAAGATTGGGCTCCTTATGGGGCCTGAGGCACCCCAGACTGAACCCACCAGCTCTGGAGGGCCAAAGACCGCAGAGAAAGAGATGGCACAATGCAGCACTTGCAAATAGAAAGTTTGCTTCTCTGTGCATTGCTTACCGTGACAACGACACACGGTGTGACAGCAGGAACAGCAACAACATCAGCACATTTCTGTCAGTGTTTCTACTCCATTAGCTCCTAAGAAAACCATGCAAATTCGCCTGGCCGAGGACAGTGAGAGGCGAGAAAGTGGGTGAGACAGAGAGGGACGATGATGAGCAAAGGGATCACGTATAAGAAGGAAAAAGGAACAGAGTGAAGGGAGGCAGCAGCTCTGGGCAGGTTTGAGATCTCACAGCACTGACTCATGAGTGCATCACTTCTCTCCAGGCTATCCTGGCTGCGTCCTCCAACACTTCTCCTTGCCTTCACTCATTACCTGCAGTCCCCTCCCATGAGACGTGCCCCTTCCCACGCCTGGATGTGGAGATGTCTCCTCATAACCAGTCCAGCTCCAATCCCACCCCCATGCAGAGGCAGGGAGCGTGGGAAGTCCCTGGGTGCAGTCCCACAAGCCCACCACGGCTCAAGGGACCTCCTGACAGCACCCAGCCCCACTGCCCAGGGACATGGAGCCCCATGGATCTTCTCTTCACCCACATCCCATGGGGCAAGGGAAGACAAGGGGTGCTGCCCTTCACACCCTTCTCATCACAACAGAACCTTCCATGTCCTTCATTCTCTTCATTCAGAGCCTTTGCCTTTTTCTTGCCTCACCTGGCACCTTCATGTCTTCTTGTTCCTAACAAAGGTAAGTCCTTCAGCACCAGAGCTTTCCTGGAGAGCAGCATTACTGGTCATCCATTGGCAGATTGCTGGAGTGCTCAAAGGCACCATTCTCCATCCAAGCCTGCCTCTTGGTGGCTTGCACTGGGCTCAGCGCCAGCCATAATCTCCCAGCCTTCACTGCTGGGTTTCCAGCTCAGCTCCCAGGGGAACATCACCTTCTTGAAGCAGTGCTCACTCTCCCATGGCTGCTGGGACTGAGCGTCGATGCACAGAGATGAGCCAAGAAAATCACGGCTAATGCGGGTGAAGTCTGGAGAACAAGCCACAGAAACCTGCCTGGATTGTCCTGGGGAGAACAGGTCAGCAGAGGGGGAAAAGAACACGGCTGGTGATCCTCCATTCCTGTTTCCCTCATCAGAGCACAAAAACATGGGGGTTTGACTCAGAGAAAACGTTCAACATGGACTGAAAAAGGCCTGCTGACACTCAGGCTTTGCTCGCCAGTAAGGATTTTTGAGGTTAATGGCAGGAGCAGGCACTAGTGCCTCATCTCTCTGCTGACTCGGGGAAGGAAGAGCTTGCTCACAGCCCTGCAGGTCGCTGTGATTTGGGGTGCCGTCCCTGTTCCCCCAGCACAACTAGGCTGTTTCCAGCAGCTCCTTTCCAGACCACTCCTTGCTGTGACATGGACTTGCAAATCTCATCACGACAACCCGTCTGGAGACACAAATGCCCCTGCAAACACCCAGCGGGGGGGGACCGAATCCCTTCGTATGGCTCACATCCAGTGAAGGCTGCAGAATCAAGTTAAGCTCAGCTGTTACATGAAAGGAGAACTCCACCAGGCAACCTAAAAGTCTCGGAAGGAAAACCAGGGTCAGTATTTGCAGGGATTTGCAGGATGTTTGTGCTGTGCCCCAGGGCTCCTGCTGGTGCCCCCGGTTTCTGTGTCACCGCTGTGCTCTCACGTCGTGCCCTCATTCTTGCTCCCTGCCAGCTTCACATCTGCAGAGGTTGAAACTCCTGTTCACCCATCTCGGCACCAGTGAAGAAGCATCTACAGTTCTACCTCACCACACATTTCTCATACTTACAGCCTAAACATTGCCTTCTACGCAAAAGAACAAGGATAAAATGTCAGGAGTTCACAGTTTTTATTCTCTTTCTTATGCCCACCCATCTTCCCCTGCCATTGATGTCAATGACTCAAAGTCCTCATCGTACAGTAGCCTTTGCCAGTGTGGCACTCAAAGGGTTAACAAACCATGGCTTCTTGGACAGATAAGACATAAGCTCATTCACCGGTAGGAACACGAGGATGGTTATGGTACTGAACACCTTATGGTTTCTTGTAGCGATTCTTTGGGGTTTCGCCACAGCCGGTGACGTCGCAGGAGAGAACGTTGGGCTTCTTCCCCAAGCCAATGCTTCCCAGCAGATCGGGAAGCTCACGAGTGATGGCCTTCTCGATCTTCTCTAAGTAGCACCCTCCCATGTAGGAACACTGCTGAGACAGCAGCTTAAAACCAGTGATGGGGTTGATGCCAAAGAAGTCCTTGTAAGCCTCGCGGTTGGGGAGGTCAAATTTGCTGACGTTGGTCTTCGCCAGAATGGACTTAAAAATAAAGAACTTGTCAGGATCTTCCACAATGTCTCTGAACACCAGTTCTCCATCGCTAAAGAAGGTCATTTTGTCCTTGTAGGTCTGCAGATAGCGATCGACCAACAGGGCGTGGATGCGCACCCGGATGGCGTGTTGGCGTATGAAGGCAATCTTATTTTCCATCCTGTTCTCAATCACCTGGTTGAGATCTTCCAGGAGCGATATCTCTTCTTTGAGGAACAGGTCTTTGTGGGTATCTGGGTGGTACTCGTGGGGCCAGAAGGAGCTGACGTACACCCTGGGAGGCTCCGTGACGTTGATCAGAGGAGCCAGGCTCCAGAACAAGGCTCCGTAGACCCTCATAAGCTCCTGGGTAGCCAGGCTGTCGGCTTTGTTCAGGATGATTCGGATCTGAGACTCGCGGCCCTTCAGCTGGCGAAACAGCATCTCCAGCTCCAGGCCCACGTCCAGCTTCGTAGGGTCAAAGACAACAAAGATGAGATCAGCTCTGTCGATGAACCACTGGCACACGTCGTTGAACGGGTAACCTTGGAGAGAGGAAAGAGAAATCCAGCAGAAATGGCCAGCAGGGGGGAGTCCCTTCTGATTAGGGGATAGATAAAGCTTGCTGTCTCACACCCTGTCTGGCTTAGACAAGGTGTGAGGCACAGAAGACCTCTCATGCAGCACAGAAACTGTTTCGTAAGTGCTAAAACACTTCAGAGCTTTTTGGCAGGAAAGCTTATTCCCGTGTCTGAGCCTGTGTGCCTCCCTCAGCCTCACCTCTCCAAGCCCTTTCTCTCCAGGGAGACCTCGTAGTGGATTTCCAGTACCTCAAGGGAACTTATAAAAATGATCTAGAGCAATTTTTTAACAATCTGATAGTGACAGGATGGAAGGAATGCCTTTTAACTAAAGGAAGTGAAATTTAGGTCAGATGTTGGTGGAAATTCTTTATTCACAGGGCAGTGAAGCTCTGGCACAGGCTTTCCAGAGAAGAGAGGGTGCCCCATCCCTGGATGTTTCCAAGGCCATGGATGGACCCATGGGCAGACTGACTTCTCCAGCCCCCACGGTGTAGGAACAGATCCCTGCTGTAGCCTAGGGCTCTTCCTCAGTGTGTCAGACATCTAGGCTACCCGACATATAACAGCATCCTTCCTGGAGCCCTTTAGGTGAAGGCAGAACACCCCTACCTCGTTCTTGCTGCTTGCGGTTTTCAATGATGCCTGGTGTGTCCACAAAGGTGACTCGCTCCAGGAGCTTGTGGGGCACCTCTATTCCAATCAGCTTCTCCAAGAAGTTCTGCCCGAACTTCTCCAGGGGAGAGAAGGAGCGCGCACTGTCAGCAGCCATCACAATGCCCTCGATGGTCTTCAGCTTGGGGCCATGCATGATGACAGTGAATTCAGAGGTGGTGGGTTCTGCCCCTGTTCAGCACAAGAGGAGCAGCAGAGATGTGAAACCCATGCCAGGCCCTGGACATCGCAGGCCCAGGACGAGGTGGGGATCTTGGAAGCATCCCTTGCTTGACAAGAGATGCTGGAGGAACACGGGAATTGGGGCCATGACATTATTGCCAAAGCTCTGGGGAACATTACAACAGGGCTGTTTTCTGCAGGGACGGGTCCTTCTGGAGGTGGCGTGGCTGAGAAGGGTGCCCTGGAGAAGCACTTTCTACTCAGCTCCCATGGTACAAGTTGACATGGGTGGGAGCAGAGAGGATTGGGAAGGGCTTTTCTCTTGGGAGGCTGAGTGCATTGGCTCCTGGTGGGGAAGGATGGGGAGAAGATGGCGAGGTGCCCTTGCTATGACTGCACCCACCCTCAGGGTGGAGGGTTGTGGTGAGCGAGGTACCTGTGTAGAGCTGGTAGGGAGTGTCATCCAGCCCGAGGAGGTAGTTTATCATGGAAGATTTGCCAACGCTCCACGGTCCCAGGAATAACACCATCGGCTTGGAAGTGATCTCCCCATCTGCAGAGAGGGGAAATAACAAGAGGAAGTGAAGAAACAATGGCTGTGGCTGCTGTGCGCCGTGCATTCCCTGCTGTAATGAGCATCCCATCTGAGCAGCACGGCAATGAAGCACTTGGGGAGCCGTCTGCTCTCCCAGCACTGCTGCCACTGCTTGGTCACACTGAGCCGTGGCACTGCCCAGCAAGCCCTGTGCTGGCACTGCAGTAAGATCAAAGCCTGTCTGCCCTGCTCCAAGCTTTGGCCCTCATGCTATAGAACAGCTGGAAGGTCCTTTTCTTATGGTCTCGCTTCAGTTTGAGTTCAGTTGGAGTCAGCACAAAGCTGCAGGAGTAGTTTTGGAGAGCAGGTGTCACAAAGCACCGGACATGCAAGGGATGTAGCCATGCTGCAGTCAGGTGGATGCCTTGTGCAATGGAGTGGGGTGTTTGAAGGGTGCGGGGCTCCAGCCCAGCACAGGGAAGGCAAGCTCAACTAACAGCCCTGTTCTGTGCCTGGGAGAGATGGGAGGAGAAATAAGCACAGTCCCCATTCAATTCTGCAGCTTGCTGGGAGGCTCAGAGAGCACAGATGAAGGCTGCCATGGGGCCCATGAGGACCTGTTCCCACGTGATATCTGCCTACGACCAACCCCTGCTCCAGGGTGCTGGGACTGACTGCTACCATCAGCCCACGCTGCCCAGCCCCACCACGCCCCTGTGGTGCCAGCCTGCAGGCTGTGTCCAGGGAACGTGCTGCAAGCCCAAATCAGGACAGAAATGGAAGTGAAAACAGAAGGGTGAGCTCCCATTTCTGGCAACCTTCCCCATACCCTCTTCATTTCCAGGGACCACACTGCTCCATGCTGCCACCCAGACAGGAGCAAGGAACCGCACCAGCAGGCAGAGCAACCATCTCCACATCAAGGGAGCCCCAAAGCCAACATGACGATGAGCTCTCACTTCCAACGGTGGTAGAGGACACTGCTTGGCCCCCAATTCATCCAACGGCACCCCCAGCACCACTGGAGAAAAGGAACAGGCTGGGGATGTCTCTCCATGGGGCACAGCCTGTGGCTATGCGACTCACCCCCCGCCCAGGACAAGGCATCCACAGTAGGACCAGCAGGACTGGCCCTGAGCCCTGCTTGTTCCATGAGGCTGCGCCAGCCAGAGCCCTGCAGTGGGGTCACAGCCCCAACCTGGGGCAGTCAGAACCAGCCCCTGCTGCCTTTCTCTGCCAGCAAACACACAGCCTGCCCACTTCTGCCTCCCTGGAACATTTGGGATCTGACTTTCTGTTCCCATGAGGGATAAAAACAAGTGTTGAAACCTCAGGCTTTTCTTATTAATTATTCCTCTGTGCCGCTGTATCGCTGCTCCTCTGTTTGCTTGCTGGCTTTAATTGGGTTTCGGATTATTATTGTGATTATCCCCTGTGATGTTGTGCCAAAGTTTTGAGGCGGGTCCCCACGTGCTCTTTCATAACAGATTCCTGGCCAGGTGCGGCTACACGCAGGTTGGAGCCGGCAAGCTCCAGCTCCATGCATGGACCACAGGGTTCCTCCAGGTGCCATCCTCATATGCCAGGGAGGCAAGGGCTGTGCCAAGGCAGGCAGCCCCTCTGCAGGTCACCCAACCCCTCTCCTGCTTGGCTTTTGGAAGCTGCCGGGCCTGGAAAATGTCACCTCATGAACAGTCTGTCCTTGCTGCCTCCCTGGACATGGGAACAGGGAGCAAAGTGTGTGTCCCACCATGCTGGTGCTGGCCTGTCCCCCACTCTGCCCCTCCCATACGGGTTTGCTATCACCTTGAAGGGGCTGCCAGGGAAAAAAGGGCTCGGGCAGCTGCCAGCTCCTGCACATGATGACAGCAGCTCCGCCGTGCGGCTCTCTCCAGCCACCAAGTGGCTGCTCGCTCCCAGCCCAGCTCACACTGAACTCTGCCACTCGTCTCAGCTCATTGCAACTCATCCTGGTGACTTCTGCAGACCTCACACCGCTAGGTGATCAAGCCCTGCATGCAAGTGGGGGAATCCTTGTAGCCCTCTGCTTTTCATCCACGGCTTTGCTTAAATCACAGTAACCACTTATCTAAACCGATAGGTTTCCGGAGCACAAAGCATGCTGAGAACCACAAAGCACCCAGTGAACAGAGCCAGGGACCCTCTGCAGGGACTGTGCTTGCCCTTAGCCCACATCCCGGAGCACTGTTGCCCCTGGAAGGGCTACTGCCCTAACGAGGAGTGCAGAGAACTGCTTCTCTCTGTTAGGGAGGGACCATTTTCTACAGCAGTGGCTTTTTGGGAAGTTCTGTGCTGCTTCCAAGGCCAGAATGCCCTCAGGAGGCAGCCCTAATGCTCTGGGGCTGGGATCCCCTCTCCTCACTCTTCAGCCTGACAGAGGGATGGCTCAGCCTGTGGGGCAAGGACGACCCTTCCCGAGGTAAAGCAGAAGGACAAAGCCTCCCTCCTCTCCTCACTCAGGTTGCCCCAAGTGCCTGCCCTCAAACCGTGTGGGTTCAACCCCCTGGGCAGGCTCTCCCAGCATCACCCCCTGCTAACCACTCCTGTGCCCAGACACCACCAGTCCCTCCTCCAGGGCAGGAACAGCACACGTGAACCCACAGCAGCCACGGGTCTACGCACGACACACGTACCCCAGGATGCAGGGAAAGCCACACGTGGATTCTCACCTCCATGTCATGCATTCACCCCCACGTGTGCACACCCACAGCAGTGCGTACGCATGTGTGCCTGCAGTGAGACGCAGCAGCTATCTGACATGCTGTTTATACCTGCACTGCTCCCCACTGCCTGCACGCTGGCATCACAGTGAGCCAGCAGCCCCTGGGCTGCACCGGGACTCTGCCGTGGTACGGAGGAGCCTTTTTGGGCAGGGGCTGTGGGTAGGGCACGAGGTGGGATTTCCCTGTCGTTTTGCCGCAGTACGTTGCAGCAGGAACGCAGGAGGGCAGCGCTTCTTAGCCTCCCTCCCAGCCCCGCTCCTGCGGGCGTTCCTGCCGGGGTCCGGGCGGCTCAGCTGGGCACGGCATGGGCCAGCGGGCAGCACCAGCTCCCGGGAGGACTGCGGCCGCCGCGCAGGGGCCGGGCGGTGTTACTGGAACAGCTGCTGCCGGGTCATCGGCTTAAACTGCAGCCAGGAGGATCAAGGGGAGGCATTCGGGGAAGTTCGTGCACGTAGCGGGGCCGAGGGTGGGAGGAGATCACCCCGCAGGGCGGGCTCTCCGCTCTGATTCACGGGTGTGAGATGGACCCGCAGGTCCACCGCAAAAGCCTTTGGGTCGTGCATCGGGGAGCTCACGCCTTCCTGAGGTTTACGCAAGAGGGAAAGGTTTTAAAAGCCCAGGGGAGGTGAGGAGCGCTGCGGGCAGCGTGGTGCTGCTGAGCTCTGTGCTGGGTGACGTGGGACAGCGAGCGGCTGAACCACGGCTCTGCTGGGGTGAGGGAAGGGGAAAGGCTGCTGAGGAGCTCAGGCAGCGCTGGCAGCATGCAGGGGACGGGCAGCGATACCAACCTGTGGCAGAGGAGCCCAGGGTGCGTCCGGGGTAAGCTGTTAGCAGGGGACACGGGGAGAGAGAAAAGGTACCGTGAGTCGAAGAAGGGATGCGGCTGCCTGGGTCTGGCCCAGGCCGGAGAGGGAGCTGAAGAGCGGCCCTGGCCTTCTCGTGGGTGGGACAAGCCAGCAGACGGCCACGTTTCCAGCAGGAAAGAAGGAGTTACAGTTCGTGAGCAACGAGACCCGCAGCTACCAGGACGAGACTCCAAACCCAGCCTGCCCTGCACACAGGCAGCACTGCCACACCAGCGATGCGCTGCTCCCAAACCTGCCCCGCTCAGCTGCTGCCTTCCCTGGCAGCGCTCACCAAGCCAGCGGAGCTGTACAAGCCACGATCAGGACAACCAGCAGCCCAGACATGTGCCCCAGCCACGTGGCAGTGCAAGTGCATCCATCCCTGGTGATGGCAGCTGCCGGCCATTCCCCACACAGCCGTGCTGCCTGGCACACGCACAGCAGTCAGGGTCTCTGGAGCGCACCACGGCCCCGCAGCAAGCTGCCCATCACCGGGCTGCAAGCTCGGCCAGGAGTAGGCATGGCACAGCAGCCCAGCTGTCACCAAGCACACAAGCAGAACCAGCACATAAGTGCAATGACAGAGCAGACAGGATGGGATGGAATGTCCCTACTGTGAGCACAGGGTGGGCGAATGCTCCGGGATGTGCTCAGACCCCAACACATCTCAGCCAGGCTCACGGTGCCTACTGTGGGTCCCTCAGGACAGGTAACATTTACTCAGTACCGCAGCAGGGAGACCCTCGCTGGGGCCAATAAGGAGCAAAGCTAGAAGAAAGCAGACAAAATGGAGGACTGCCGTGTAATGGAGGGGTGAAGGAGAGTGTGGCAGCACCCCTCTATATTGGCTTACACTTCTAAAGGTCAGGCATATTCCATGACACTGCTGCCCTACTGCTCACCCAGCTGTCCTGCTCTTCCCAGCCAACTCAGCCTGCAGCTCTGTACCCCCTCTACGCTACAGGGGATTCCCTGCAGGGTGGCTCAGGGCATCTGGTTCACAGGGACTCCCCACCCTAACACCAGAACCCCCTTTAGATGATAGGCAGGGCTAGGGCTCACCTCACCACACAACTGAAGAAGCTCAGAAGGCTCATCTTTGTCCTCACCCATCTCACAAACCCAAGAGGACTCCCTCAGCCAACCCTCCAATTTATCTGTAGGCTACTCTAATTACACTGTTAATGAGGGGTTGGGAAAAGCTGTATCAATGGTTATAAAAGGCAAACAGCTGGGGTTGTTTGGGGGGTAGAACAAGCAGCTCTGATAGAGGGAGGGCTCTTATAGCTGCACCTGGCTGAGCTGGGGGGCTGCAGGCAGTGTGGTGTCCCTGTGCTAGGAAGCTCTGACTCTAGGTTACTGGCTTTGGTCATACCTGTGCAGCAGTGCATGGTGAGAGGGCACCTGTCAGCCTGCAGGATGCACTAGGGGTTGTTCCTCATAGGGAGAAGGAACAGGCTATGGAGGGGTGGGGTGAGATAAGGCTGTTGAAGAGCACCAGAAGCTGCCCTGATGAGACCTGCTGGGTTTGAGAGGGGCACTGCCTTATAAAGTGTGAGGTTTGGTGGGTCCCAGGGGCCCTCAGCAGGGGCTGTTAGTGCTGTCCCAGAAAGGAGCAGAGAGGTGCCTGCTTAGCCATAGGATGGCTCTAGGGTACACTGAGATGTCCTGAGCAAGGAAGCAACCCGTACACTGAGAGCTGGAGGCTGCATCTTCTGGAGGTGAGCAGCAAAGACAGGGTAGGAGGCTGAGAACCCACCACCTCCAGCCATCTCCTAAATGCAGTGCCCCACAGTGAGCTGGCAGCAGGTGCTGGTTGCTGTGACCCCCAAGCTGCCCTCCCACGTGGCAAGCAGTGTGAGGCAGGCCCAGGCAGCACAAAGGCAGCGACACAGAGCTGGCTGCAAGAGCAGCAGTGCACGCCTCATGTTGTATGAGCCCTACACCCACCCACCCCACAAAAACCCATGGGTGAATGGTAGCCAGTGCCAGGGTGTGGGAGCAGGGCTGTTACTGAGGGCTCTACAGCCCTGTCCCCTCCCCATCCTGCTGTCCCCCATGAGTATCCTGTTCTTGCTCCTGCCTCTCTACTGGGTTGGCAGATGTGCTGGCTTTCCTACAAAAGGCCAGAGGTCTGACACTGGCCTAAGAGTGGCATCTGGGCTATAGTGGGGTCCCCTGTAAAACAAAGGTTCTGCTCTCAGGGGATGTATCCCATGGGTTTGCCCATACAGGCTTGGGACCCATAAAGCTTGGAAGGAAGGTCAGGGCCATTTCCAAGGCATGGGGATACGTGACCCCAGCTCTGGACAGGGCTTCAGCAGAGGTTTCACCTCAGTGCACTGGGGCCTCGGACTGAGCTGGAACTACTTGTCTGGACAATGTCCTCAGGATCACCAGAGCCAATGTCAGCCTGTGGTTGTTCACATCAAATGGGTCAGAAGAGCCTCCAGATCTGTGAGCATCCTGGGGCTGGAGCTGCACTTGCCTCTTCTGGAGGGACACGTTTACCACTGGGGCTCAGCCCAAGCCAATGTCCGTAGCCACAGGGACCTGCTCACCTGATCCAAAGTGCCTGTAGTTGCCAAGGGGTGGAAACTCTAACTCCCAGGATAAAAGAAGGCTTGAGCTTGAGGGATACCCAGCCCACATGGCTGTGTCCCATATGGAGCAGGAAGGATGCCAGCTCCAGCCACCACCAGGAGGCTCAACCCCAGCCTTGAGAGGTCCTAAGCTTCCTTGCCAAGCCTGTCTCACTGGGCCATGATCTCTGCTTGGCATGGGTACAGAGCATTGATGTTGAGCAGGTGGAGGACCCAAACTAGGCAGAGGTCAATGTTCAGCCTACACAGATGGTCCTGACAGCAGATGAGCTAAGGCAGATGCAGGAATGCCTGCCTCTGGGTGCTGGGTTCACTAGGGCATGTCCTCCAAGCCCAGCATGCTCGTGGCCTTCTTGGGGAGCTGTAGAGGAAGCCAAGCCACCCGAGCCTTTCCATGACCTGCTCTGTGTGCTGCTGTCTGAATGCATCCCATTGACCTGACGGTGCCAGAGACCTGGGTGCCCACAGCATTACCTGTGATCTCATGCTGCCTCAGCTCATTGTATCTGTAGGACTGCTCCAGGGGCTTGATGGAGGAGTGGTAGATCTTCCTCAGCCGCTGCAGTACTCCTGGAGGAGCAAAAGCATGCACACTGGTGACAGGCAAACCCCATGCACCCCTTCACATCCCTTCTAGGTAAGATGCTGGACATTCCCCACAGACCTTGAGGATGACTCAGCTGTAAATAAAGTGACGCATCTCACACTTGAAATCCTGCGCAAAAGGATCCAAGTCACGCATCTTGAAGCCCCTGCCCTGCTGATATTTGTGCTGCTCTTGCCAACATGTGATGCAGGAACCTCCCTCGTTAATGCTGTTTAGCACTTAACACCCATAATCCCCAAAGCCTTCCACCACCGTGCCCAGGGACCTGGTGGCAGGCATTTCCCAGACAGTTATCACTCCCTTTCTAGTTTTCACTGACAAAGGGACCAGCAGAAGCAAGCCTGATAAGAATAAACCACAATTCATAATCAGAACAAAAATCAAAACCTTTTATCACAAGTTGCCCCAAGCTTCTCTGAGGAGCAGGGAGCAGCGTGGCTGCCTTGTGCCAATACACCAGTTACCAGCCCCCTAGTTGAATGTCTCTGTGTGCCCTCGTATGTCAATGTGGGTCCCCTCACCTGAGAAGTCATCTGCAGGTTTGTCTTCGTTCAGCTTGAGGGTGTTCTCCAGGTGGGACCGGTCGCGCTTGGTGGGCTCGCTGGCATCCTCAACCTCTTCTGGAGGGAAAGACAGAGAGAACTGTTATGGTGGGGGCTGATGGCGAGGGGCAGTGCGGGCGCTCACACAAGCTGTGCTGGGGAGAGGCTGCTGGGGAGCACGCACATCCCGAGCCCACCCTGCCCGGCACCCACAGCTTCGGCACACCGCTTGGTTTCTGTTCCGCAAATGCTCCTAAGGGGTTTGGTCAGAGCCGCCAGGGGAAGTGCTGTGGGCAACTGCTCTGCTCCGAGGAGGGGCGGTGAGGGAGAGGCGAGGGCCGGCGCCCATGGGGAATGCGAAGGACGTGCCTGGAAGGGGCTCTCGGGTGCTGGGAGTGCTGGGTGGGAACTGCGGCACCTGCTGCCCGCGGGGCCCCTGCCCAACCCGCTGCTCCCCGACAGCTGCAGCTCCCCTCGGCTTTGGGCACTGTGCTCTGCCTCTCTCCCTGTCCACTCCTCAAAAATCACACGTCGAGCTGGAGGTGGGAAGGCTTGCAAGGTTCTCTCCTGCTTCTCCACCTCTGCGTCCTGCCAGGCTGCAGCCCTCCACGGGCACATGCTGTCCCTGCCTCCTTGACTCGGCAACATGTGGCAGAAGGTGGCCCTGGGCTCGCTCCCCAGTGTCCCCATGAAGGGGGACAGAGGTGTCCCCAGTCCGAATGTGCTAGCAGAGCCGGTACACCAAGGGCCCCAAGGGCTGGGCTATGGGGGCAGCACCAAGCCCCACGCTGAGCCTCAGGCTGGGGTGCTGAGGAGGACCTTTTGACTTGCCAAGTACAGCCACCGAGACCAAACTGGGTTTTCCTCTCGGCACAAATGTAAACTTTTTGAGCTTGGATGTTACAGAAGGAAGCAAAAAAGAATCAGCTGGGTCCAAAGGTTGCTGCCTTACCTACGGGGCCAAAGTCCGCAAGCATTTCTAGTAAAACATGGCAGGGGGGATCACTTTTCCTGAGCTAGCTGCCTTTGGCTGATTGGACACACCCTGCCCACGGCCAGGGCAACGCTTCAGCAGCTCAGCAGTCTGAATTAGCTCTTTGCATCTTCCCTACAAGGCAAGGGCTGAGGGCCAGTGGCTGATGGACGCGGGGCCCACCAGCCTGGGCAGCGTCCTGCCTGTGTGCCAAGAGAGCCGGGTGAGTGAGCTCTGCGGGCTGATAAATGTCCTCTAACAGCTTTGCAGCTGCTGAAAGGGATTGGAGGGAAGAGAGATTCTTATATGTGTCTGCAGATGAGAAGAGAAGTCATGGGCTTAAAGTGCAGTGAGGGAAATGTCGGCCAACCTCGGTATCACCGCAACGAGCGCCGACGTCTGCAGGCTCCCACCTCGCCATCGCTGCCCACGGCACGGCCGCCCACCCGTGCAGGTTAAGGGCAGGACAGGAAGCACAAGCATTAGGAGAGGGCCATGCATTAGGCGCAGTTTAATGTGCCAAGCTCAGCTCCGCCAGGTTTGATAGCAGGTCACTCTCGATGCCCTCTGCTCGCTATGTTACAGCACACGGAGAGAAAAAGACTCCAACCTATCTGGCTGCGCCAGGGCTCAGCGGCAGCGGGGCGGGCACTGGCTGGGCTCTCCATTTCTGCTAATGGTGCCTTGTCTGCCGGGGGGTCTCCCACTGCTGCCGGTGGGTCTTCTGCTGTTGGAGGGTCTTCTGCTGTTGGAGGGTCTTCTGCTGTTGGAGGGTTCTCCAGGGCTGCTGGTGGGATTTTGACAGCTGTGGGTGGGTCTTCTCTTGCTGCTGCTTCTTCCACTGCTCTAGATGGGTCTTCTGCTGCTGCTGGGCTGCTGCTGCCAGAGCCAGGCTCCACGTCCCCACAGGGTGGGTGATGGCAGCTGGCAGGGCCATTCCTCTGCTCTCCCTCACGGTCGGCTGCTGCCTTGCCATGGCTCTTTTCCCCTAATGTCTCTTCTTTGTCAGTTCCTTCAGCTCTATCCTCCAGCCCCTCTGGACTGGCACCATCCTCCTCAGACTCTCCCTCCTCTGACTCTGCTTTGCCTTCATCTTCCTCAGACTCCCCCTGCTCGTCATCTTCCTCTGAGCTCTGCTCATCCTCTTCCTCTCCTCCCTCGGGAGCAGACACTCTTGGCTCCTTTTCCTCTGAGGCCACTTCCTTGGTGTCGGCCTCCTCCTCCTCCTCCTGGCCGCCATGTTGTGTTCCCTGCTCTGGGGTGGCCTCTCCCTCTGCTCCAGGGCTGCCCAACATGGTGTCCTTCCCTGATGACCCGTCAGGCCCTTCCTGGCCCTGCCCTGCAGCCTCGCTCAGGCCTCCCTTCATCTCTTCAACCCTCTCACCACCTCCCTCTGTGGTTCTGAGCACAGAGGTGTTGGCAGCTCCACCATCATCCTCCTCCTTGGGGCTGCCACTGACGGCCATATCCTCCCCATAGGGCTGTGCAGCAGACAAGGGGCGTTGGGTGGCATGGCCGACATCTTCATCTAAACGATGAGAACAGCTCGGTCAGTCTCACCCACGCCCGCCCATGGCCATGGGGGACAAGAGAAGGCTTGGATGCCATCACCAAGATTTTAACTCCTGCTAAAGCATCTCTGGCTCTGGCTCGCTGTCCTGGCCATAGCAAGAAGCTGGGCACAAAGAGGCGTCTGCGGATGGAAGCGCTGATGCTGCCTGGATAGGGGACATGGCCCCACGGCTGCACACCACAGCCACCCATGGCCGTGCAGCCTGTGGGGTGCTGCAGAAGCTCTATGGGGTGGTGAAGCGGCTCTGAGAGAGGACCCAGCTGTGTGGGGAGCTCTGAAAGCTGGGAGCGAGAGGCCAGGGGTGCTTGGCAGGCAGAAGGGTCCTCCCCAGCCCTGCACAGCACGGTGGGCTCTGCCTTTCCAGTGCAGGGCCTGACCCCGCAGCAGGCATGGAGCTATTTATTGTGCACGTCCCTTCATTAGGAAAACATTTGCCACTCCGTGCAACTGGCTGGAACACAATGAATTTGTTCTGCGGGCCGGGAGCAGGCATCTGTATTTTCCATAGGCCTCCGACTGCAATTTAACATTAGTCAACGGATGCCAAAAATAAAATATCAACAGCTATACTGTCTCCGTTACAAACAGTTGCTGCTCGTCTAAATAATCCCCTGAAAACTCGAGTGCCTGCATACCAGGGAAGTGTTTCAGAGGAAAATAATGCCTTTGTACTCCAGCTGGCAAGCAGATGCCAACTGGGAGCAAGGCCACCGCTGCCCGGGCTGTGGTCACGGCCAGCAGCTCAAGCATTGCACACAGCATGGAGCCAGCCCTCTCTTGTAGCCTTGCACGTGGCATCCCACACCTCTGTGCTGTGCCAGGGACCCACAGGACCCTGCTTGCCATGACACCCACTGCTTTGGCAGCACGATGGCATGGGTGTTAAACCACCCTCCAAGCCACCCAAAGGGGAGAGTTGGCGTGAGGCGTGCTCTGCTCACTGCACCCCAAGGGTCCCCATGGCGGATGAGGACAGGGATATTCTCAGCGTGGCCCCAAAATAACCAATGAGCCAAAGGGCTGAGAGGGAAGTGCTGCTTCCAGGGCAGGTGTTTGGGGAGGGTCAGGGCTGGTGAGGAGAGGCTGGGCAAGAGTATGCAAAGGAGAGCTCACTGGGGATCCCTACGTGTCCCTTTTGAGTGGATGCAGAGGACAGATGTGTCCCCTGGGCAGTGACATGCTGCATCCCCTGTGCCCAACTGTGGGCCACATACAGGGCACAGGGAAAAAGGAAATGTTCGCCATGCTCTCACACTGGGATATTCCCTGCCACGGGCTTCATTTCCCGTGACCTTCATGGAATTACATAAAGCCCCTCTCCCTCTCCTTCTCACTCCTGTTTCCCCTACATGGTCTCCAAATCCATCGCAAGGCAAATTGTGCTGATCTGCAGATGGCCGGCTGGTGAGCACCGGGTGGCTAAATGGGCCGAAGGTTACGGGCTTAACACCCTTCTCCCATCCTCTGCGGGCTAAAAATACATCCAGCAACTGTGTAGTGGGGTCAGCAGCAGCTCAGCAGGGCAGGGGCAGCACCGGACCCTCACTCTCAGGCACCCACTCGCTCATCCCCGGCCCTTTGACCAAGGGTGACACCCTCAGCCAGGATCTGTCTGCAGCCCCGTGCACCCCAGGATGGAGAGGGACAGCAGTGATGTGCAAACCTGTTGCAAGGTGACATCAAGGCTCCCCTTGTTCGTACCCTGCATTATGCCAAGCAGCGTGGAAGAGAAGACCTTGAACCACTCACTTTCAGAACCCTTGGTCCCTGACTGGGAACACAGCAACCCCGTCCTCTGCTGTGACAGCAAGTCGTGGCACAACCGCAATGGAAATCCACCAGTGGGATATGAGACACCGGTGCTGCTGCCACAACAGCCAACATGGGAAGCATGGGGACGGTTCCCCCATCCTACAGCTATGATGCACGCATCCCTTCCTGCTGCCGTGCCTTCCTGCCTTCCTTACCCTTGCATGGGACTATATGGAGCAGTAATGCCAGAATGAACAGAGAGAGCCTACCTCTGTGAATGGCATCAGGGCTGGAGACAGCCAGGAGGGACAGATGGGCACAGGTGGCCCTGGGAAGGACATTCTCCCCCTCCAGCAGAAATAGGAGCCCCGAGCGTGGGGACGGCAGTGCGCAGTGCTGCAGGGATGGCTTTTTGCACGCCTTCTTCCCCTGCCCGAATCTCAGCCCCAGCAGCATGCAGGGAGTTATTTCTGACGGCGGCTGTTTGGGGGATCAGCAGTTCTGCAGTGGGAGAGTGCCCCGGGAGGTGCAGAATGCCCCAAGGGAACCAGATGCCCTTAGGGGTGCAGGGCCATGCACGAACCCTGGCTTTGCCCTTCCCCAGTGCCCTGTGCTCAGCACTGGGCCTCCCTTCCTTGCTCACGTTCTACACCGTGGGGAAAAGCGAAAAGCCAACATTAACCAAGAGGAAAAGCCAGCATTAACCAAGGCAGCCTGGTTTCTCTTCTGCTCCTCAAGGCATGCGAACCCAACCCAAGGGAAAGCTCCAAAATGGGTACCAATAGCCAGAGAGGGGACAGCCACCATCTCCCACTAGAGTGGCTCTCCCCCTGCATTGCCAGTGGGGCTCAGGGGGATCCCACACCCCGGGGTGCACATCTGATCCGGGAGCCGTGCCCATCCTGGTGGCAGTAGGAGTGACAGCAGTGACGATGGCACGACCCAGGGGGACACGGGCACGAGGAGCTGCACGGGTTGAAAGGAAGCCAAGGCCAGGTCCCAACTGCCAAAGCAGTATTTCTTGCCATCGCTATTTTAACGAGGCCTGGTCAAAGAGATGTTCTGGTCAAACTCACTCATTCACTTAGAGGAACGTCTTGGTGCTATGAAAGAAGGACGCACGTGTTTCCTTGTGGGGAATTTTTAGCAGACCCAAGGAAGCCGCTCACCTGTCTCTCCTCTCCTCATTGAGCACAAGTGAGGCCACACTGAACCTAAAATCTGTGCCCGGTCCTGACAAAGTCCTGCAATGGGCCAGGAATGTAGCTGGGCTCAGAACCACCCAACACCTCCTGGGATCCCCCCAGGAGACAGCGGCCACACCACAGACCCCCTGCAGGCACCTCCTGTGTCACGCAACATCCCTGCCCAGTCTGCCCATGCCTCAGTTTCCCACTCCATGCACTCCCTGCAGCCCTGGGGCATTTTCCCAACAGTTTTGCAGGAGAAATCCCTGTGTGAAAGCTTCCTGCACACAGGAGGAGATGTCTGATCTATGAGGATCACAGCAGAGACGTAGGAAACAGATTTGTCAGGCTAACTTGACCTGGTTTGTGGAGGAGATTTCAAGTTTAGCTGGAAAAGAAAATTGGCTGTTGATTTCTATTAATAGTGGGGTAGGGCTGCATGATATTTTGATTAAGAAAGCAGGGTAAGGAAACCTCAACGATTAAAACCAGGCTTGGGGCTTGCTAAATATAGAGAGGAAAAATGGGGAATGGTTTCTGTGGGGTGGTTTTCTGATTGCTTCCCACTGGGGTGCTCACCCCAGGGTTCCTATTGGAGCCTTGGAGGAGAACCTGAGCCTGTGACCGCTGGCTTGCAGATGGCACAAAGATGAGGGAAGTGGTGAAGGAAAAAGCAAGATGGGAAATTGGGGTCTGCAAGCGAGCAGCCAGCGAGGAACAGCTTGGATTTTGGAGCCAGATGGTGCCTTGCCCCACATGATCCCTAAACTTTTGGGATTGTTCAGATGGCGCCGAGCCCCAGCAGTGGGACAACAAGCCAAATTCAGCTGGGTCCCTAAACCAGGGCTTATTTCTATGGGTGCCAGCACCCGGCCTGGCTCAGAGTGCCCACCCGGAGACTCCCCAGCCTCTCCAGCAGCCCCTGCTAGCACACGAGCACACCAGCTTCCTCGGGCTATCACTTACAAGGGAAATGTCCCTGCAGCTTAAAATAGCTCAGCAGAGCCCTGCCAAGCTGCCAGCACCCACTGCCATGCAAAGAATGGGACAATTCTATGAGCAGTTTGCTCACCCTCAGACCTGCTGCCTGGGTCTGGATTTGGGACCCCACAATGCAGCAGGCAGCATGCAGGTCTGCAAGCAGAGACATGAGGTTTCCTGTCCATCCACCCTGCCTGGATGGACGTCACCTGCATGGCCTGCCAAGAGTGCTCCCACTGATGTGGGGTCTGGTGGGACCAGGAGTCACATCGCACCAGTGTGTCCAATATCTGCCTTGCTTTGCTCAGCCCATAATGTGGAAGAGAGTCAGGATACCCGTGGGGATCGGGATCTCTACTGCACAAGGAGATGTGACAGGGATGTAGGTGGCACAAAGGACTGAGAGCTGTGGCATCCCACATTCCATGTGTCTGCACCAAACAGCAGTGGTGCCCACGGTTGTGCTGATGCTTGGCTGGAGTACAGTGACCCCACAGCTCTGGGGAAGCTCAGTGCCCCTGGAGGGCAGCTGGATGGGATGGAGGTGGAGGGTGCCTGGAATGGCAGAGCTGGGGTCACCATTGGGGCGGTGACACGTGGCAGGTGGAGGAGCTCGCCTCAAGGAGTCACATCCTGAGAGCTGGGACCTGCCCTGAAGTGAGAGCCCATGTCAAAGTGACATGTCCTGGGTGATCACCCCGAGATGCCATGAGGATGTGGTGGTGGTGCTCACCCTGAGGTGACATGTCCCAGGCAGGGGGAACATGGCGGGGTGCTACGTCCCGAGAGATGGGGAGCGCCTCAAGGGTGGCAGAACCCACCACAAGATGACACTTTCCATACAGATATTTCCAAACAACACTTCTGAGGAGGGCTTCATCTCAAGGCTCCACACTGGGTGATGGGGAATCACCCCAAGATGCCACAAGGAAGTGGTGACAGAGCCTGCCCCAAGGTGGCACATTCTGGACTGAGGTAGGATGGGGAGTCCCAGGACACGGGGGTGGTGGCCACGCTTGCTGTCACAGGCAGAGCTCTGTGCCAGCCCCGTAACACCCTCGGCACTCACTGCAGAAGGGCACAAGTGTGCCAGGATTTCCCTCAGCTCCTTGCCCAGCTGGAGGTGGGCAAGGTCCACGGCGGGGAGCTCTGCCAGGCCCGGCCACGTGGGCCACGGGCCCTTCCCACCCTTGGGAGCAGTGACAGGGCCCCAGCAGCCCCAGGCATCACCAAACCAGCGTGAAGTAACAGCCTTCAAAATGGCAGCGGCAGCCGGGGTTGCGGGGTTAGCTGGCAGTCAGCGGGGAGCACATCCACGAGCCCGGCTCTGCCCAACCCATCTACCAGACCACCGGTCCCACAGAGCTGCCATTGCACCCCACAGCACCAGGGTGAGCCCAGCGCCAGCCAGGCTGGTCACCGTGTCCTCCAGACACCCTCGCAGGGCCACCAGCCATGCCCAGAGAGGACGCCTCCATCACTCACCCCCATCCACAGAGGCACCCCGCTGCCAGCAGTACACATCCCTCACCTCAAACCCCTTTTATTCACCGGAACGGTCAAAGATGCCCTTAAAAGGCTAAAAGTGCACTGGGCAGGGGGTGCGGGGCTGCAAGAAGGCAGCAGCTGTGGGTGCTGCCCGCGGGGCCGCGGGGGCCAGGCGGCCGCAGGAGCACAGTGTCCCCTTACACGGCTGTTTCCATACTTAGCTGCCCCCCGGCAGCGCGGCTGCCTGAGCCCGGCCAGGCAGCGAACCGGCCCAAATTAACTCAAGGGCAAACAAGGGTAACGGCGGTGCCCCAGGGGACGCCACGGGACCGGGTGAGCAGCAGGGTCTGGAGGTTACCCCAACGTCTGCCAGGTCCTCGGCGGGTGAAGGTCCTGTGCTCGGTGCCCTGGAGCCCTGCAGTCCTCATGCAGGGGCTGCAGCCTGGCAGCACCGAGCTGTGCCAGCACCCATGGGTGACGCTGCCCCCAGCACCCCGGCTGCAGCACAGCCCCTGTGCTCACACTGTGTGCAGAGCAGGGACCCCAACCTATGTCCCTGACAGCCACTCCTGATCACACACTGCCTCGGCTCTTCATGTCCCTACAAGTTTTGGGGGTGCCAGCATATCCTGCCGGGGGCACCCACCTGGGGTCAGGCTGGGCTCACCAGACACCCACAGCCCTCTGGGCACCCGCAGCCCCATGGGCGCTCATAGCACCGCGCACACCCCCAGCCCTGCTGGGCACCCAGAACTCCATGGGCACACGAAGCCTTATAGGAGCCCCCAATCCCTCGTGCACCCACAGCCTCACAAAGCACCAACAGCCCCAACGAGCACCTACAAACCCATTGGGCACCCAGAGCCCCATAAGCACTCACAGCTTCTCAGGCACCTACAACCCCAACTGGGCACCCACAGCCCCATAAGGCACCCACAGCCCCTCGGGTACCTGCCGTGCCGAGGAGCAGGAGCGAGGCCACGCAGCAGCACAGCAGGTTGAGGCGCTTCATGGTGGCTGCCAGGAGCTCTCCGCCGCTCGCCGCCCGTATTTATACGCCGGGCCGGGGGCCGGGCTGCCGGCTGTCGGCTCAGCCCTGCGCACACGCCGCTGCCTCCGCTCCCGGGGGCCGGCAGCCGGGGGACGGAGCGGCAGCGCTGCGGTGCTGATGTCGGGGAGGGGTTGGCACGGCGGCGCTGCCGGTGAGGTCACACCGTCCCACGCCTGGAGCCGTCCCTAAGTATGGGCGCAGCCGCTGCGCAACGCCCCGGGGACATCCGAGGATCGGAAGCCCGCTCGCAAAGGCTGAAAGCGCAGAGGGTGGCGGGGATGGGGATAACGGTGTGGAGCGCAGGGCACAGCGGGGATGTGGGGTCCTTGCCAGGCTAACCCTAACCTTAACCCTAACCCAGTCATCGTGAGTGGGAGATGGAGGGACCCACAGCCGCAGCGGTGCCCCCCAAAAGGCACGGGAGGGGATAACTGTCCTCAAAGCCCAGGAGAGACACGGCGATCCCGATCGGCCACCTGCTGGGGGACACCGGGTGGGCTCAGAAATCCTTGCTCCTCCCACCCTCCAGTCGAGAGGTGTCACCAGAAGCGGCCCCACAGCCCCCCACAGCGCGGTGCGGGTGAGCCAGGCGCTGCCCTGTGCGCCCTGGACCCGGACCCACCCCCAGACCCCACAGAAGTAACGCTGGGCCGGAGCTTCTAAAAAACAAAGTACAAACTTTATTTTGTTTCTTTACAAAGGCACAAGCCTCTTTTTTTTTTTTTCACTTTCTTAACAAAATATAATAGCTTCTCAATGAACACAAAGACCTGAAAATCGTAAAAAAAAAAATACAAAAAAAAAAAAATACAAAAAAAAATGAAAGAAACCGAGAGAGAAACAGCTGTGGCTGGGGAGGAACCTACCAAATACCAACAGGGCTCTACACACGACTGGCCTAAACCCTACAGCCAAACGGGGGGGAGGCCGGGGGGGGAGGGCAGAAGTGGGGCCCCCCTGCCCACAACAAAAAGTAGAAGCGACACAATCACGAAACAGAAAAGCTCTTCTGACCTGACGAACCCCGCAAACCGGATTAAGTGCTTAAAGGAAGGAGGGGAGCAGGAAGGGGCGCGCGGGGGGTGGGTGCTGCAAATGGAGCCCAGGACCCCCACGGCACTGACGCTGCGGTCACTGAGAGTGCCCCCTTATTCCCCCCATGCTTAAAAATGAAACTTTCAAACAGAATGAAAAAAAAAAAACAAAACGAGAAAAGGAATCAAAAATCCCAACCG